ATCTTTAAGATAACTTGTTATGTAAAATTATTTATCTAAGATGCACCTACACTGAATTTATCTAAAAAATAAAAAAGTCGATATTAAGAAAAATATTGTAAATGGAAGATTATAAGCGAGGGTTTCGTGTGCCAGCAAAAGTTACTGGCGTGCCATGTTTGGCACGTGTGCCAGGGGTTGTCCACCCCTGGTTTAGGGGCTTCAACACATGAATTTTGGGGACACAATTCAGTCCATGGCAAATAGTAAAGATAAACATTGGTAAACATAAATGCCAGTATTATTGTATTTTGTATAGTTTGTAACTCCTTTTTTCCCATATTATGTAATAGGCAAGTGCACAAAATAATCATTAAAATCTATGGTAATGGGTTCATGATATATAAGGATACAATCTGTGATGATAATAATATAAAGGAGGGACAGAAATGTATAGGAGCAGTGTTTGTATACTTTTATAACTTATTGATATTATTCAAAGTAGGGTGTTGTATGTTTAACCTAGGTTGTTATAAAATGTTAATTGTAATCCCCAAGGTAACCACTAACAAAAACCTAAAAATTCTGTTTAAAATAAAAAGGGAATCAAGAAGGCATTTATTAAAAAAGAAACAAGTAGCCCTGGCCAGTGTTGCTCAGTTGGTTGGGCATTGTATCATTCACAGAAGGTTGCTAGTTTAACTCCTGGTAGGGGCACGTGCCTGGGGGTGCAGGCTCAAGCCCTGGTAGGGGGTATGTAGGAGGCAGCCAATCGATGTTGTGCTCTCAGTTGGTTAGAGTGTCATCCCGGAGGGTCATGGGCGTGATTCCTGGTCAGGGCATGTACCCAAGTTGTGGGTTCAATCTCCAGTCACCTGTGTTTCTCTCTCACACCCATGTTTTTCTCTCTTTTTCTCTCTCTCCCTCTCTCTTATTTCTCATCTATAAAAAACATATCCTCAGGTGAGGATTAAAAAAAAAGTTCAACCCCTCAAGGAGCTATAACAATTATAATCATATACACACCAAACAACAAAGCCCCAAAATATATAAACCCCAAACTGACAGAACTGAAGGGAGAAATACTTAGGTTATACACAGGGTGAGGCAAAAGTAGGTTTACAATTCTATGTGAAACACAGAGTCCAAGAAGAAATCACAAGGGAGACTTTTTAAATAATTGGAGAGTATAGAAAATAAAACTTATAGGAATGCAGGGAAATTTACAGCTCTGAATGCCTGCTACCTCAAAAGAATCAAATTACACCCAGCTGGTGTGGGTCAGTTGGTTGAGTGTCCTCCTATGCACCGGGAGGCCAATAGAAAGGCATGCAAATCAAGTGAAAAATGGGCAAAGGATTTGAACAGTTATTTTCCAAAAATATACACATGAACAAGCACATGGAAAGATTTTTAATATCACTAGCCACTAGGCAAAAGCAAACAAAAACCACAATGAAATACCAGGATGAGTATAGTTTTGTTTTTGTTTTTTAACGAGAAGGTAAGTGGGGGCAAGAAGGTGGAGAAATTGGAATCCTTGTGCATTGCTGGTGAGAATGTAAAAATAGACAGCTGTGTGGAAAATCGTTTGATGGTTCCTCAAAAAGTTAAACATAGACTCAGTACTTGACCCAGAAATTTCACTTCTACACATACACCTGAAAGTTCTGAAAATAGGTACTCAAATACTTGTATAGTAACGCTCATTTAACATCGACAGGTTTTGCAACTAAGCAAAATGACATATAATGAAACCAATTTTACCATAGGCTAATCCTATATAATAAAAGGCTGATATGCAAATCCTATGGGTGGGAGTTCAACTGATCCGGGAGTTAGACGGGAGTTAGTCCCACCAGGGGACAGTGTGGAACATGACAGGTGTCAGTGATGCAGTGCTGTCAGTGGCCAGCAGTGGAGGTGCTGCTGCCCCCACGGGCCCCTATGAGAGCGGGACTGGAGCGGGATGGTGGAGCAGGTGGCGCAGGTGGTGCCAGGCCAAGGCAGGTGCAAAGGGAGGCCCTGGCTGGCAGCTGGCAGCCACTAGGGACCCTACCTGTGCACGAATTTTGTGCACTGGGCCTCTAGTTGATATATAAACAAGAGTGAAGTTCCCACAGCAAATCATCAACGTAAAACAAAACAACTTTGAATGAAATGATGTTATTGGAGAATATGCTGTACACCAATGTTCATAGCACTATTAACACAATAGGCAAAAAAGTGGAAACCTAATGTCCATCAACAGATGGATGGATGAACAAAATGTGACAGATTTATACAATGGAATATTACTCAGCCACAAAAAGGAATGAAGCCCTGACAGATACTACAATGTAAGTGAACCTTGAAAACATTATTCTAAGTGAAAGAAGCCAGACCCAAAGGGCCACAAATTGTATGGCTGGGTGGGAATAGGAACTGATTACTTAAATGATTACCAGGTTTTCTTTTGTGGTGATGAAAATATTTTGGAACTTGATAAAGGTGGTGGTAGCATAAAATGATTAGTTTTATGTTATGTGTATTTCACCTCAATAAAATATTTTTAAAACCAATAACATCCTTAAATGCAAAAAAAAAAAATTTTCCAGTTAGAAAATACAATGCAAATCCACAGTCCCTTCACAAAGCAACAGAAAGCAAACTAGTTAGGAAAATTCAGGTGTAATCTATAGGACCTATTGTAATGTTCCTCACGAGGAACAACAGAAGTTGAAAACAAACGCGACCTACTTTGCTCCTGGGGATGGAAGCGTCACCAGGGTGGCGGTGTCGGTGCCCCTGCTTAATTCACAAACGCAATGCCATTCCGAGCCAGGGTCACAAAGGACACAGAGCTGGACAAGGTAACCGAAGCTAGTTTTGCAAATAAAGAAGATAATCTTCAAACTTCTGAGAATGGAGCACCAAGCAGACCTCACTCGATACCACACTCCGCCAGGGCTGCAGCAACGGTGGGGCCACACAGAAGGGCCGGGGCTGGACACGGAACCGAACAGTCCGAGCTGCTCCCTCCCGCGGCGGGGGCGGGGCAGTGGGAGGGTCCGCATCCCGTTCTCCGTTGGCCCGACGCCAGGCCGGTGAGGGGTCTAGTG